CTAGCCTGCTTTTTACATCCAACACAAAAACTGCAGTCGTGGTGCTTTCGATTGTACTCAGAACTCGGAAATTCTGCCTTCTGAATAGGAAGATGTAGGTAACACCAGACTGCAGATGAGCTGCACACTGGGCTGGACTGGGACAAAAAAATCGTCCCGGGCACTTTGACTAGAGACCGGCCCACCATTATAGGAAAAATCATAAATCATTAATGATCCTAATCACACGAGCCAAGGTGTGAAAACGGGTGTAGGTCACAATCAGCCAAGGTTTCAGGTGAACTCTCGAGATTCGAAATTCTGCAAAATTTTCCCTTGACCACTCTTAGCTTTTCTTTATGTGGTGGGTCAATCAGTTCCCCCCTCAAACACTTTCTTAGCAAAGTAGACATCAATCATTGCCTCGATGTTACATTATAACCTTTCCAAATAGAACTGGACTCCCTTTCCCAGAATTAACCCCACTGAGGGGCTGCAAAACAAAATATCACTTTTTTTTGGTTTTTACAATAAATGTACCTGCAAAAAAGCAGAGTCTCAGGACAGATGATAAGAAAGTGTAAAACAAAAGAAGAATGGCACTTTACTGGAGTGTTTTCCTCTGTTGCTTATGTGTAATTATGATAGTTCTTATATTATCCTTTGTCTATTTACTCGTGCTCTTTCCGCTCTGCTGCTCTAATAATGTGAATTTCCCAACTTTGGGACTAATAAAGGCCATCTTATTTTATCTTACAACTAAAATACATTTTATTAAGGGATTGGTCTTTAAATATTTTGTAATTATTCAACAGGCATTTACTGGAAATTCACTGGTGTTACTGTAATAAGGATGTGGTTCATTTCTTTGCTGTGAGTGTAGCTGTGAAACCCGCCACACTGGATCTGCTTTACTTTAGGTCAGGTTCATGTAATGTTATTTTTTTTTATACCTTGTCACATGTTAAAACAAATGTAGGTTGTTGTTGCCCAAGGTGCTAATTAGAAGAGGCGTAAAGGAATCTTGTACTTCAACATCAACATTAGTGACTTTCTGCCAATAGTAAACTTGAGACTAAAGAGAGTATCAGCATATAACATGCATTAAAAGAGACCTTTTGACCTTCAGTATTTGTCAAATGTAAATGAAAGCAGAGCACTATAAACCAGATTATTTATAAATCATCATCATCATGTTGCTTCTGGACAATTTTATTTCTGTATGTCTTATATATTATGACATCATCGTGTTGCCTAGCAATAAACTGGAATCACAGGCCAAACAATACTGTAGCATGGGCATGTACTGGT